TTATTAAATTACCAAAAATAAATATAACACATCCGAAATATAACCGCTAAGCAAAAAATAATTTATTAATATCACTATCATTTTGGGGCAATTTGAACACGTCCATTTTGGCGCGCTTTTTTTGTGACGTCAGACTACACTTTCAGACGAATTCGATGTCAACAACGGAGTGAAGTTCACAAAGTTTGTGAAGTTAAAAAGTGAGTGATATAAATTAACTTATTACCATGGAAAAGCCAATAAAAACTTATTATAAATATTGTGCCGTTCCTTTGTGCCAAAATAATATCAAAACTGCACCTGACAAAGTATATTCAGTCATTGTGTTGAGTTTTTCTACACGGGAATTTAATAATTTAACACTGAAAACGTATTAGTTATTAACTTAAATGAAACAATAATCACCAGAAACCAAATATTACAAATACACCACAACTTGTTGACACTCTTGACAGTGTAGGTTGACGTCACGTTTTATTCAACCAATAGCGTTGCGTTTTAGAAATTTGCGAGGGAATCTTAAAAAAGCCAATTTTTTGATGATTAAATTTCACTATTAAATTATAATAAATTTCAAAAATAATTGTATGGGTATCTTCTTTTAGCAATAAAAATTACAAATAAAAATATTTTGTCCATGTCACGTGCATATTCCCTATTATACGCACGTAACTAACACTGAGTAATGAAATGTAATAATTTTGGGACAACATTAATATGAATTTTAATAATTTTATTAACAATAAATCGTATTACTATTTAAATGATGGACTAAAAGAGACCTAAATGACTACAGTCAATCTTATGTAAGTCGACTAATAGTCGTAACAATTACTCTTTTATTAAGAAAAATCGTTATTGGGACATTAAAAAATTGTATGGAAGATATTTTATAAAAAAAATCCCAATGCTAGTTATACTATGATTTGAAGAAAATATTATATTATTTATAAAAAAAAGATCCTATTAAAGACTAAACATAGATGTAAACATGATTAAAAATATGTGCCATAATATGCAATTTTTAATCTGCTATTAAAATAGTGGGACAAAAAAAAGTGCCAAATGTACATTTTTTCTGAGTATGACCCTGATAGGATAAAAGTCATAACTTCATGTATATTTTGTTCTTACCATTTTTTGAAGAACTAAAATGAACTTATAAAAGAAAATGATCGAGCGTATGTATGCGTACGAAACGGGGCAGTTTTTTTCCCACTTGTGAAAATCCTACCGGGTACCACACCAACCTCGAGCTGACTAAAAGGTTCATTAGACCGACCCGACTAGCACCACATCGTCGCTCGGTGTCCACTTGTTGTCGACAGGTGGTCCACGGGTTGACGCCGCGATGTCCCGTGGTCAACTAGTGGCCATTGATGAGTAGTTTGTCAGTGATCGTCACTCGCCGTTACATCGTCCTCGCGCGTGAACCATTCACGGACAGTTCGCAATCCGTTTGCGTATACCCATAGAACTCCATTTAAAGAATACTAACCGCTCGAGGCGGGGCTGTGATGGTCGGGTGAGGGGTGGCTCTAATGCGCTATGACCTTTACACGCCTACACCACCCGCCCGTTTTGGGTGTCAGCAGCCGTGGAGTCAGGTGAAACCTATAGAGGAAATCCCTGTACCCCGGCAAACCTCGGTCTATCTAAGATTTATAAGATAGCCTGACACGTGCTGGCTCGCTGTCTAACTTAGCAGGTCGAGAGAGCCTCCTCTTTAACGAGGTACACTTCCGCTTGTAGAACGACGTAGCGGAATTCCACACGCTTTTCCACATTCACCAGTATTCTATGGAGCGCTGTACACGCCTCGGCACTCGCAATGGTGGCAGGCGTTGGGCTTCGGGTGGTACGGCACAGGTGGTCACCAAAGCATAAAAGCGTTTGAACAATTCGAATCTTTAACACCCTGATAACTCTCCTCAGCTATCAAGCTAGGCAGGAGTCTAGTCCGCACAGGTCTGAAGCTGACCAGTCACCTGTCGCCTTAGCAGAAACAGGTCAGGGTTATCAAGGGTGGAAGCGAAGTTGGCACCGTGGTCACCACACATGAAGAGAACCGTTCGTAAAACAGTCGATGGCCCGAGGGAACCGATCGGGTGGTATCCGTAGGGATGTCAGCACATAAAAAAACCGGTCAGGTACTAGTCGAACTCGTGCGCCGAGGGTTCCGTACCTACCCAGATTTCACGTAGATTTTCGCGAAAATTTGTAATGACCAAAATTCACCTTAATTTTTTATTTTTTGGAATTATTTCCTTATTTGGGCTGTAAGATTGCTGTGTGTGCTTGATTTTTATACACCTAATAGGGACCATAGTCAGACCATAGTATTTGGTATGAATTTCAACTTGGTCAACCCGTTCCTGAGAGAATCGTGGTGACACACGGATAGACGGACAAGAAAGTGATCTTATAAGGGTTCTTTTTTTACCTTTTGAGGTACGGAACCCTAAAAAGCTAAGGTTCAATAACAAATGATGGTTTTGATGAACATTTTATTTCTAAAGAAAGTGATAGATATGATAAATATTTTATTTCTAGCGTTTTTTTTTAATGAATTGGAGCTGAGGTCAAAAAGGCAGTGATAGTTCTAAAAATCATAACTCGATTAATATTTTAATTCTATCGTTCTTTAACGAACTGCAGCTAAGGTCCAAAAGAAAGTTATATTTCTAAAAATCATAACTTAATAAACATTTTCGACTATATTTTTTTTGTATGTTTGCTATGCGAATTCATCGTCAATTTTAGCATCATTTCATATTTTTTCCCTTTTTATAATCGAATGGGTAATCGAAACCTTTCCCATAATCCCATAGACCCATAATCACCAAGTCAGGATCTGATTATGAGATCAAAGAGAAATCGAGCTAGACTTTCAAAGTTTAAAAGCACCTTGCAACGTGTTTAATTTTGTTTCTAAAGTCATAGGGATATTTGCGTTTAGTAGTCTTTATCTGGTGTTGTTGAGCTAATGATGGACGGGTCCTTAACTTTTAGGAGTTAAGGGACAATTCCTTCAACAATAAAATTACGTATTGACCTTAAGTTGTATTCTTTCAAGATATTTATTAGGTGTTGTATCGGGTTACAGAGACATGTGCACAAGAACGTAATAAACGTTATAAAATATTTCAACAAGACTATTACAATATTTTTTTGTGACACAATAATTTTTATGTTTGTAAACATATTTATTGATAATACATATTAATAATATACATATAAATTTAATGACATACATTCATACACTAAATACACACTACCACATATGAAACTAAGTGTGTGCAACTAGCAACATACCATATCGAACAGAATACACTTCACCACACACATAATCTTAGTTCAGCATAGCGGTTTTTGGTCGGTTCGAGTCCGACATAACCACCGGTGGCAGGTATCCGAGGGGATTTCATAGAAAAAAAAGTACACCCCTAAGCAAAACGCTGGCGCATTTCATTAGATAACTTACAGTCATTTTTAAGTGTCGTTCTCTTCAGGTAGTGTTCTACAATTCACGTAAGCTGAGGGAAATTAAAGGAACCAGATACTTTTATTTATAAAAATATTTAATAAATAAACTACCATTTCTATAATACATTCGATGTAGAGACAGTGAAAATATACATTTTACAACGACAGCGAAAAATATTTAAATAAGAAAGATACAATACTCTTCCAATTAAGCTTTGATTATTGCGTAATACATAAATATAATTCATAATACATCGTAGTGTATCCTTCTCGGAGGCGAATTGAACTTATTTGGAAGAAAACCATAGTTGGACAAACATCAATTATTGTAAAACTATTCTAACTAGTTTCTACGATAAATTATTTTATATCAGTACTTTCTTTTGCAAAAAAAAAACCTAAATAATACTAGCATTAAGTATACAAAATTTAAAAAGCAGTAATGTTTGGATGGAATCGCTGGAATCGTTGTACCCCTTTGTGTCTTTACCTATGAAGTTGGAGATTTGTATAAAAAAAAAAAATTGGTGGCATGGTCCGGCGAGTACCGTGGGTGACCAGCTCTTGAGCTTTGGGATGGTCTATCGTAAAGTGTCAGCTCGCGCGTTGTTGTGGAGAAGCAATAAGGAGGAGCGATTGACCAGTCGTGGTTGTTGTATGGCGAGCTTCTCACCACTGTTTTGCAATTCTTGGCAATAGATATCTTCCGTCACTGTTGTGCCATTTGGTAAGAAGCTGTGATGTATTTAGGCACTGGTTCACCAGACAGTCACTATCATCTTCAGTATTGCTACGCATGATTCGACGCGTAAGTCTCGCTGATGATCGCTCAGTTCGTGTGACACCCACACTTTATCTTTCTGTTAGTGATTCAATGTTGTTTTCAAACTAACCTTAAAGCCCGCAGCAAGCTCAACCGTAGATTTAGTTGGATCCACTTCCACTACCGCCTTCGATTCGTCGTTGTCGACGATAATTACCTTCCGCCCACCAGGCTAGTTGTTCAACTCAAAATTGCCGGATCTAAAACGATTCAACCTATAATGGACCATGTTTAAGTAAGTGCAAGTTTTAGGCCCGTATTTCCAAGTAGGGAATCATATTAGAAAATTGTACGATTGTTGTTTTCAGTTTATCCATAGCGCCAAAAACTACAACAATTTGAAAAAACAAAACAGTCTCTAAAACAAATGAATGAATTTTAAATTAAAATAACATGGCCTTCGAATATTTTTTTTTGAATTTAAAATTGCTCGCCAATCCACATATAATTAAATCTGAAAATGCTGGTTTTTAAAAATCTCCAACTCTATAGGTAAAGACCTATTATTTGTTAGCCCAATTGAAAGCTTGCATACTCCTCCTAAACAAGATTAATAATAATACGGGTTGAAGTCGGGTGGGATAGGAAAAACGTTCCTTAAGTAAATTTCATTCATCATGATTAAACTTAAGACTGCCTTATGATATTTATTTTCTGAACAGCCGATTTTTACAATTTCGGGATATGGTATCTAAATCCTTGTTGCAACAAAATTAGCAGTCCAGCCATTACCTGCGTTATTCATCGACGTATGGTAAACTAGCTTTACGTAATTGTCATTACTCCTGTAATCAGCCGGCGTCTCAGAACAAAATGTTCTCACTACGTCACCTCTACTGTTAACGAGTTGTAAATAATTCTGGTTGCAAGATAGTCCTAAATCGAACTCGTTAAACCGGATAAGTAAATATGTGCCAACTGGAGTTTCCAATTCCCATTCGCATGTGTTCTTATGTCTGTATGTTTTGGGATAAAAAGGGCTGGTCACGGTGCCGACAGCATTGTGCAATTTGCCACCACACCCATTACCTTTATTTGATGTAACGTAGTTCAGATCAAATGTTACAACATTGCCATTATTTTGGTGGCTGTGTAACAGCATGTGTCTCCCAGTTGAGAACACTGGGTAATTATTTTCGTAATCATTACTGATAGCAAATAATTGTTTTGCGTTAGTTTTATTTCCGTCGTATATTTTAAAATATGTATTTGAGTCATAGTAATCTGGTACGATGCTAAGGAAATATGCAGATATTGTATAGTTTACAGGAGCGGTAATTAGCGTATAACAATCAATAACAGGATCGTCATCTGTTCTGTAACTATTTTGTATTCTGCCTTGAAGTTCTGTATAATTTCTGCCGCAATATCCTACGAATGCTATTTCTATTTCTACACCTTTGTGAACTTTACTATCTAACTCTGCCGAAGTGATTATATTTATAGAAGAAGGTCCGTATACGTAATAATCCACAGCTTCTAAATGTCCACATAATTCAAAATAATTAGGATAATGTATATTACTATCATAGAAATAATAATGAGTAAAAAAGTCGTCTGTTTGAAGATTCATGATTAGATTTTTTCCTAATGTAATATTTGAATGAGACAAACTACTGGATAAAATAAGCCTGTCACTTTTACAAACTTTAACATTTTCACCCTCGGTAACAGCAGCACGTAATTGTAAATTAATTACGGTAATGCGAATTTGACTATACTGCTGATCACTGTTGTCCAAATGATAGACACAATGTAGACCTCGCGGAATCGATCCCGTGTCATAACCAGGAGACTTGTAGCGATGCGGTGTGGAGCTCACACGTATGACGGACTGGCCGCAAGGCGTTGGCTGAGCTGTCAATGTAGCCTGGAAGCCCGAACTCACTAATTCCCCGTCAGTAGAAAGCCTAACACTCATCACATTGTCAGACGATACCATTGCAGATGGCATGGTGTGGCCACAATATGTGCCTATTATTAAACTACTTGGATTTAGACCATCTTTAATTTCGACTAAGTCACAGTCACATTTGCTGTATCCTATAGCGGTTTGGTTAATGTTTTCGCAAGGAGATATGTGGAACTGTGTAAAAGTAATTTTTATAACTGTATTAGGAGGTGATGTTATCGACCAATGACAGTCTAAGAAGTTTTCGTACACGACATTGTTACCCATTAAAGGTGATTTTAGTATGGTTGTAGCTCCATCTGTTATATTTATTCGACCGCCGCAGCCAGCTGCTTCAGAGTAACTAAAGTAAATCTGAGCTTTAAAGCCTTTGTATTGTAAAACAGAGTCTGTAATAAACTCTAGCACCATTTTATTTCCTGTACTTCTTAATACTGTTGTTGAGTTTATAAAACCACACAATAACGCTAAACGTTTATCCCCATTAACTTTGCGGCCATCGTATAGCGCGACGTAATCATTGTAACATTGAAAACTGTTTTCCAAATCGATATAGATGAAATTGACTATGACTATCTTAGATGGAGGTGCTTCAATAAACCATGTGCAATTCATATTTCCATCGTAGTTTTCATCACCGTATGATGAAGTAATTACAGTAGTGTCGTTTATTTTACCACCGCACGTAAATATAGCATATGATATTTTGAATCCTTTTCCTTGTAGAGCGCTGTCAGATCGAAATTGAAAACCAATTTTTTCAAAGTTCCGTATAGGCGATGGTAACACAGTTCCACAAAAAACCTGATATACATTTTCATAATCCCTCTGAGCTGTTACGGTTAAGTTATCGTAGGCACATTCGGGATAGTTGCCTTCTAAGTCGAATTCAAGAAATTTGAGAATCACTTTCTGTTTGCTCAAAGAATCTATTTCATAAGAGCAATTCATATACGGCTTATAATTATAAGGGTAACCAGGACTAAATAATATTTGTTCTTTTTGAGTGGCCATATACTTGCCCCCACAGATAGGTATCCACAGTGCTTTAAAACCGTCAAGATTTGTCTCAGCATCTGTACGAAAAACTACCTTCATCCGATTGTTAGTTGAATTGAAGGGGAGCGGAGTTTGTCGTCCGCACACTCTGCCAATTTCGTTATAAGTATCTTCTATCCAATCATAAATAATAAGAACGTCTTTTGTGCAATTTTTTCTATCCTCAATTGCAAATCGATCAAAGAATCGAAGTGAAATCCGGTAGCCTGTGTCTGCTTTTATCTCCCACAAACACTCCTGGTTAGCAGAGTACATTTTAGGGTAATTCGGGGACGTAAAAACATTATCATAGAATGTAAGCAGTCCACCGCACGAATGCGTTACAGTTTTCGCCATGACCTTTATATTAGTATTCGGTTTTGGCTTAGAATGATACTGAATGGTCATATAAGAATAGTGGGTAAGAAGTGCGTTCTCCATAGTCATTCCCTTACAATATCTTCCAATGGCGGGAATATCTTGGCTTACACTCTGCATTATTATTACATATTCATCATCACATTCTAATAAAAATGATCCTTCCAATTTGATTTCAACTCTGCTGTTTATAGGAGCTATTACAAGCCATGCGCAGTCTACAGTATCACTATAAAAGTCAGGGATATTTTTAAAAATATTTGAGGCATTTTCCCCTACCTGTACTTTACCACCACAAGGCTGTGATTTTATATTTAAATTAAAGTAAAATAGGTCAGTTTTACGTTTGGCTGCCCTGATTTCTAAAACGGAAGATGGTATCCTGTATGATGTTTCGGTATTGCCACAAATTTTACGACGAAAACTAAGACCTGTGTCACTAAATGATGATTCCAAACTAAGTCGTGAATCAAATAAGCCACACCGATTTCTGGTAGTGGTAGTAGAAGAATTAGTACTGAGAGAAATAAATATAGAAGTATATGTTATATTATTTTGATTTACAGTTGAAATTTGATTGTTATAGTGCCATTTGCAGCTATAAGATCTCTGAAGATCCGGGGACATAAGTTTTAGACTGTTGCCACCCAATTCACCACCACAAAGTGCTTGTTCATCAGAACTGAATTTGGCTTTAAACCGATGACTTAAAGCAAAGGTATTCAACAATACAGATATTGCTAATTCATTTCCTACGGATTCGATAATTTTATTGTCTGAAGTGGAATTACCATCGGGGATTGACACAATCATAGTATGGAAACTCATGTCGTTATATAGATTTATCCTGTGATTTTCTGGATTCGTATCAATAAGCTCCAATCGTACTCTACGTGACTTATTTGGTACACGAATTCGCCAGTGGCAGTCTTTCAAAGTAGTCTCTTGAGGGTAATTGGGTGTACTCAAGTAGCCCTCCGAACTTGTGATTGTTCCTCCACACATAGGGCGCGAAGAATAAAAACTAATACGAAAACCTTTAATTTGAGACTTATGGTTCCATGCATCTTGTTTACCAAAGGTAAGTTTGATTGTAAATTTATTGCTCGATGTTTCAACTGCTGGTATAGGTCTTCTAAAATCATCGTTACATATAGTTTTTAATGTTGTGATGGTATTATTCACTGGTGTAGATTCTTCAAGTTCAATTTTAGTTGCGCAAGGTGTTGGAGTTAGTGGCAATCCTACATCTTCCGGTTTAATTGAGAAGACATGACTTGGTGGCCCTATAATATACCAGCTACAAACTGTACCGCTCGATAAAACTTGCATTACAGGATATCCAGGCGATTTTACGACTCCTGATTCTGCAATAATGGTACCACCACATATATCGATTGATATATTAGCTCTGAAGCCATTTCTAGGTTCCAATAGTTGAGTCATGTATTTTACATATAATTTATTACTGCTACTTTTAATAGTGCCCGGCTTTTCGCCACAATAAGGTCCTTTCAACAACGGGGATAAGCTGGATGATCCATCTCGTATTTCGATAGCCTCTGTACCACAGTTTTCAGTATAATCTAAGTCAAATCTACCGACAAAATCTATTCTTAAGATCTCCCCTGGTGGACCAGAAAATATCCACACGCATTCTGAATATGGTATGGGTACATCAGGATAGTTTGGAGAGCTTATTATTTCTGCTTTGTGGTCCATACTTAGCTCAGAAGTTGATCCGCATTCGAAATTTTTCTCTTCATAATAAATTTTGAAACTTTGGAAGGTAAATGGAAAATTACGAATTTGAGTTGTGTAGCTCACAAAAAGCGAATTACTCAAAGTCTCTATGTTTGTGTGGTTTTCATGTTCATAACCGCAGTACTTTCCACTTTCTAGTAAAGGCGCTTCTTCGGAATCGCCATTTCGTAGAACAACGTAAGTAAGACAATTGTCATTTATATTGGTTATATTAAAATCGCTAAATCTCAATTGAATCGTTTTGCCAGGTCGTACTTTTACAGTCCATTTACATTTAAGTTTATTTGATGGAGACGTATGTAAGGTGTTGTATGCATCTATCCACATTGGGCCTATTTCTCCGGATGAAGTAGTAATAAGTCCTCCACACACAGAACTCACTTGTGCTAAAAAACCTTTTTTGGTTCCATATGAATCTGTTTTAAATTTTATTTTCAAATAAACTGAGGAGTTAATATCTTCCTGTATAGAACTTCTTTGACATAAGTTTTGCTTGATAGGTTCCCAATTGTTGGGCGTATTTGCAGAAAAAATTGAGATTGAATCTGCGTAGCAGGCTTGAGCTTCTTCAAGGTTGAAATCAGTAAAAGTTATGCTTAAGTGTCTTCCAACTTCTGTCCTGTATATCCATTCGCAATTCAAATCGTTTCCATATTCCATAGGATAATTCGGTGATTTCAGTTCACTTGTGTTACCAGGCAAAACCATCGTTATTTCATTTGAACCACAGTTGATACGATCTTGCATTGCAGAAGATTCCCCATTAACGGAGGATTTCGTCCAAGTCATATGAAATGTAGATCCGGTATTCGATTCATCCAGTGTTAGAACAATGTACACTGTATTCGATGATGCGAGAATTAATTTAGGTTCACCTAAAGCACCATGCAGTTGTTCTAAAATTGGGGCAGTATTGTCATATCCATCATAAATTATTAATTTATTATAACTTACATCGTCATAGGAGGAAATTTCCATGCTATCAATTGTAACAGCAATTACATCTGCACCAAAAGTCATAATGCGCCAAACATATTCTCCAGGGCCTTCATAAATATTCGGATAAAATGGAGATGCAATTTCACCACTATCGCCTTCTATATCATTTTCGTGCAAATAACTATAATGTAGAATAAATCCTTGACCACTTGTTTTGCTATTGCTATGAAACTTTATAAATATTTTTGCCGCCTTTGTATAATTGGTTGGAATTTCATTTCCACAATATACTCCAAATAGGTGACCGCCTCTGTCATTTTCCCGAATTTCCACATAATCCTCATTGCAACCCTCACTATATTCTAAATTGAATTGTTCAAATGTTATAGAAATAGTGTTACCAGGAGATGTACTTAGTAACCATTCGCAGTCCGCATTTATAGGATATGAGCTCGGGTACGCCGGTGATGTAATAGTACCCGCTTCTGCTGTCAAAGTACCTCCGCAGGCATTGGATATAGGAGAATAATGAGCAGAAAACATTCCTGCTATTCTGTCGGTATAACTACCTAGTTCTATAGTGATTGCATTGCCGTGACTTACAATCATTGGAGGTACTTTTCGTCCGCAATATTCTGCTTTTAATGGAGCAAACTCATCGTTACCATCGAAAACTCGAAGAAATGTTGAAGGACAGTTTCTGTTTGTTTTTACATCGTTGTCTTTTGGCAATGACATGTGTGTAAATGTTAATGATATCTTCTGATCTAGTTCAGGTGCAATGATTGTCCAGATGCAACTTTTATTCATATGTCTAATAAATCTGTTGTTTTCTATAATACCGTCATATTTAGCTATTAAAATAGAACCACAAGTAATGCTAAAGTTAGCTTTGAACCCTTTAGCTGCTTCCCCACTCTCAGTTTTAAACTGTACTATGACGTTACTATATTTAGTGACAATTTGTGTAGTATTTGAATTTGGACAAATACGGTAAGTGTAATTTGGAGACAATTTATAGTCATTATCATCGTATATGAGAATCGAGTCCCTACAATCACTTCCATCATAGTTTGGATCTGCATATAAATCAAGATCAAGAAAATTAATTTCAATTCGGTGATTTGCCGGAACCTTGATGTACCATATACAATCAAGATTTTTATCATAATTCTTTGGGTAGTTTTTTGAATATATAAAGCCCGATACAGAGTTGATAAAACCTCCGCATGTAACAGACGTAGAATGGTATTGTGAAGTAAAATGAACATCTTCTAATGTTGACTGTTTAACCAAACGAACTAACATAAAATTGTTATCAGAATCGATCGATGCACGTCCTTGATTGCAAAGCTTGGCAAGAAGCGGAGATCTAATGTTTGGACCGTTGTAAATTTCAATAGCATCGACATTGCAGTGTTTTGTATCTGACATGTAAATATTAGTAAATGTTATACTGATAGCTTTATCCTTTGACGTCTCAATTAACCATTCGCACTCAATTTCCTTCTCCGTTACTATAAGCCGATCGAGAGACAAAGTGCCGTAGGGTTTTTGAATATGTCCTCCGCAGCCATAACTGACCCACTCTAAACGAAAACCTGTGTATAGTGCATGTATTCCGGACACAAATTTAATTTGCAAAGAATTACTCTTAGTAGTTATTGGTGAAGGTAAAGTTGTCCCACATAGTTTGTCTGAAAAATTGGGCTCTAAAGTTTCTTTTACTTGCATATAATCTTCATAACAAATACCGTTGTTATGAAGATTATATGTTAATAATAAACTATGTCTCATGTAATCGTTAAATCGTTCATTGAAATTGTTAAATCGTTCATTGAAATCGTTCATTCGCTTTCGTTGAATATTAAAATGTGTAAAGGTTACATTGATTTTATTTCCTTTTGGTGCTTGTATATTCCACAAGCAATTTGAATTCATCGGATAACTATTTGGATAATTTGGGCTTTCGATCACTCCATATCGACCTGTTAAATTATTGTTGCAAAGAGTAATATAGTTTAGCATAAAACCTTTAGCGCCTATTTTCACATCCGACCTAAATTTGATATAGGCAATATTTGTTGTAGTTACTACATTAGATTTGTCTGTTAAAACACAATATTTACCCAATGATGGAGCCCTCGTGTCACGACCGTCAAATATTTCAATATAATCGTCACAACTGCCAGTGCTACGTTCTAGTTCTAAATCTGTAAAAGAAATTCGGACTCGAGAGCCAGTACTCGTTACAATCCTATAGAAACATTCTGCATTGTTGTGATAATCATTCGGATAATTTGGAGAAGTTATTGTTCCAGAGACGCCTGTTAATGTCCCTCCACAGCCGGTAATGGTACCATCCCATTCAATTTTAAAACCGGTTCCTGTTAAGTAAAAGTCGGAATGAAAATGTAAATGTAAAACGTTTGTTAACGAAACGATTCTTTTATATCGAAATTTGCCACAGTATTGACCTATTAACGGAGCTGTCTCGGAGGCACCATTCCTTATTTCCAAGTAATCGCCGTGGTTACATTTGGATTGTACACTCCGTTCTAGGTCAAAATTTGAAATATTCAGTGATATTTGTTGTCCAATAGGAACTGTGATTGTCCAAGTACAATCGCGATTAGGTTCATACGCATTCGGCCAGCCAGGAGAATATATAAAGCCATGAGCTTTCACATAATTACCACCGCAATGAGATCTTTCATCCAAAAAGGCGTAAGATACTGAAAAACCCGCGTAACGGGCACTGTTGTCAGATTCAAACAGTAATTTTAGACGGTTAGTTGAAGTCGTCAACGCCGGGGGAAAGTGAGTTCCACAATAGGTCCCTAATAAATTAACTTCTTCATTGTTATCAATTTCAAAAAGCTTTAAATAATCGTTGTTACAGCTTGATGCATCTTCTAAGTCAAATCGGTTCCAAGTGAGCTTTATGTGCATTCCTTCAGGCGCAATTAAGAGCCATTGACAAGATTGACCATTTTTGTATATAGAAGCATCTCCAGACGGGTGATTTATTAATCCAGTTGACTCCCTATATATACCACCGCACTCCGTGTCAATAGTAGTATAATTAGCATAGAATCCTGTACCAGATATAGTCATGTCGGATTTAAATCTTATGTACATAAAATTGTGTGTGGAAGTTTGTACAGGTGGGATATGTTCCGAACCACCACAAAACCTGCCTAGTAATGTGGAGTTAACATCTGGACCATCTCGGACTTCAACGTAGTCATATCTGCAATTGTAATTTGTGTTGTCTTCGATATCAAAATCTTGGAATCTTAGTTGTATAGCTTTGCCTGGTACTGCCTTTATGATATATACACAGTCTTTATTTCTAGGATAATTAAATGGATATAAGGGTGATTTTATGACACCACTGTCGCCTAATATAGTTTTTACACATAACGCATTGTAAGTTATTCGAAATCCTTCAGCAGCATTACTTCGGTCTGTTCTAAATTTTATGTAAAGAGTGTTTGACGATGACGTGTACGTAGCTGGATATGTATTACCACAAAACCTGCCAACGAATGGAGAATCAGCCGAAGGTCCGTCATAAACTTTTAAATAGTCATATTTACATCTAAAGGAACGTTCAAGGCTAAATTGTTTAAAATCTATCTTAATTCTTGTTGCCGGACTTGTTCTAATTTTATATTCACAAAGCAAATTAGTCAGATAATTCCCGTTGTAAGTAGGAGAAACAATTTCCCCTTTATCTGCTGTGAAATAGCCCCCACAACCTGGTACACCCTCGACAGGTGCGTAGGCTATTTGAAATCCTTTGCCAGAGCCATACGAATCAGAATGAAAATGTATTAGCATTTCAGAACTGGCTGAGACTACAGGTGCCGGTTGTGTCGTGTTACAATAGCGACTAAGGAGTGGATCTGTCACATGTCCTCCATCGTAAATAGCTAAATAGTCAAAACTACAGTTTGAATGTACTTCAATATCGAGAGCAAAGAAATTTAAATTGATTCTTTTACCTGGAGTGGTCGTTAAGTGCCAGTAACAATCACGATTTTCAGGATAGGATCCAGGAGAGCCCGGTGAGCTGATTAGGCCGTGAGTAATCGCATCTATATCTCCCCCACACACAGGCTTCATGCTGGTCCAATGTAAAGCGAAACCACTTTGAGTTACAATTCTATCAGAGTGAAACCATAAATACAGATTATTGTGAGTTGATATAATGTTACCCCCTTTGGGAAATGTACTGCCACAAAATCGTCCAATCAGTTGACTAGAAGATTTTCGGCCATCATGAATTTGTAAGAAGTCCTTATTACACTCGAGACTCTGTTCTAAATTAAATTTACTAAACGTTACATTAATGACTTTTTCTGGTGCAGTGTAAATTACCCAAGCACATTGAGCGTTATGGTTATGCGTTGCGGTTGTATTCGATATAGGATAAGCAAGGCTGCCTTCTTCAGCATCCAAGATACCACCACACGTTTTTGACTTAATCTGACATGTAGAGCCCGTATACAGTGCAGTGCACTCACATCGAAATCCGGTGATGGTAGTGTCATCATCCCTGCAGATACCTCCGTTCTGGCAAGGGTTTACTGCACAAACATCGCGTATTACGTCACATTTAGCACCACCAAAACCCTTGTTACAGATGCAAGTATAACCAGAGCGCAGAGAATGGCATCGTCCGTGGTTTCCACAAGGTTTACTTTCACAACCTCTTGTATAGTTAGCAGTTGAGATATAGCAGCCCATCAATCCCACTCCATCCCCGTCCATTCCTTCAGGACATAAACACAGCGATGTTTGACCTGTCGGTGACAGACTTTCTACGCATTGCGCCGATGGATGACAGCCTCCATGGTTAATATTGCAAGAGCCTCTAAAAGTACATGTGACCCCATCGCCTTGATACCCTGTTGGACATGGTCCACATATACGTGAGCCGATGGTGTTATGACAACTCACCATTGGACTGCATCCGCCGTTAGAGACAGTGGTACATTCGTCGATATCGTTACAGATGTAGCCGTCGCCCTCATAACCCGTGGGACATTGTCCGCAGCGGAATGACCCCGGCAAATTGATGCATTCAACCTTCGGATTTACAGAACACCGCGGTCCCTGATACGATTCACATTCATTTATATCTGTCAAGCACATTACACTAGTAGCGTTAGATGTCCATCCTTGGTGGCAAATACATTTTATACCTTCTCCAGAAGTAACTGGTATGCAGGTGCCGTAGCCACACATTTCAAAATCACCCGAGGAGCAATCCTTTGCCTTTGTAGTACAATGCAATCCGTACCAGCCGGTTTTGCATAAACACTCGTATGTACCCGGTTTATTAATGCATGTGGCTCCATTTTGACAACCGAGTTCTGTGCCGGCAAAATTTCGGCATTCATTGACGTCTTCATCACAATCTCTTCCTTCCCAATTTTGCGGACACAAACAATGGTAGCCGTTAATTAGGTTAAGACATGTGCCACCATGTTGACAAGGGTGAGAATCACATTCGTCTTTAGATCTGCTTACTATTTGATTTTCTAAATCTAAGATTTTCCGTTTTAAATTGTTTAGTCTTCTCCAAAGCATGGTTATATTGTATAACGTTGATTCAGGAACTGAATATTTAACGTTCTCTAATCTCTCCAGTCTTTGTAGTATTCCATTCGGTCTATTTAAAAACTCCTCTAAGTCTTCATTCATGCGGTTATTAGATTGTTGATGTTGATCAGTATCCTGCGGATCTGCAGACTTAAGTATATCAATATTTCCAACAAAAATTTTCGATTTGGGTCCATTAGGTCGAATATATATATTTTTATCTAAAGCTGCTTCCAGTACAAGGTCACCATCTAATGTTTTTATTTTAGGACGATCTTGATAAATTTCACAATCAAGTTGCCCAAATAAAATTGTAAATATAAATAGAAAGGTGAAGGTCATTCTGGACATTGTCCATGTATTAGAGTTAGCGTTTGCTATGCAACTGCTTGATGTCCAAAAGCTAGGCAAAACAGTTACATTTCACTATCGCGAGGGGCGTAGGGGCGTATCATGATACATACCTAGTTGATAAGTAATTTGGTGTAAGTTCGGCAGATGCTCATTATATCATGTTACTGTTAATTACCTAATCTGTGCTATTATGAAACTGTGAATAAACCGTGTCCATTTGTTTTGTAACTTAAGAGAATTTTATACAGAAAGTAATTTAAGTATATAAATCCAAGACGGTTTACTTTTATTATAAAAACGACCTAAAAAATGTTGGTTAGCCTATTGCTATATCAAATATAGTTAATACACAAGTCTATTACCTTATGATAAAGAAAAAGTAAATCTGTAAGTTTATTCATTAGTTCAGACAAGATAAAAAACCGCTCAAGTGCGATTCTTCCTCCAGGTTCACTGAGGAAACAAATTTGTATCTATGTATACATAAGTATATAAAGTTCAACCATCAAGTTCTTGAGAAACAGACAGGCAGATAGATATGCGGACAACTAAATGATTTTACAAGGGTTCAGTAGTCCTAACAAGGAACACTTATACTTTGATATGTCCGTCCGTCCTCTCATCTCCAGCTTAACTTAAGAGTGTTAGCATTAGAAACATTGCATATTTCTTAGCCTTTCTTGAGCCATTATTATTTATCATTCCAAGTGCGACTTTTGAATAATATATCTTTGAGACAACACTGCCGTCCTTACGAAATATAACTAGGTTCAAGCTGATTTCGAGAAGAACGCGGTTAAAGTTTTTTTTTTCGTTTTCTTTCTCTCTCCATCCCAATAACATAGTTCTACTTGAAACTTTCACTACATGGTAGGTAAAAATGTAGAGAATATTATGTGGTACTTAATTTCATTTGTAAGAGGCAACCTTGAAAATACAAAGTTATTACAATAAAAAAAAGAAATGTTACATATTTACATTCAGTCAAAAAAGTATCGGGAATGGATGATTTGTTTATGGTTCCAAATTCAAATTTTTGTTTTTTTTTTGTTGTTGTTAGATTGGCACAACTGTTTTCCATTTTGGCGCGGAGTGTGAGTTGCATCTGTTATTTATATGAAATACAGTGCTGTTTTTAGTTATATAATATCTAGTGTGTATTGCGAATTTCATAATGGACAAAAACATCGAACAAAGAGTTTGTCTTAAATTTTGCATCGCCAAAGGAATTTCGTGTTTTTAGTCACTGAAAATGTTACAGAAGGCTTACGGTGAATCGACTTTATCAAACACACGTACTTATAAGTAGTACAAAGCATTCAAAAGCGGTCGAGATGTGATGGAAGATTTGCCTCGCTCTGGTAGGCCATCAACGTCTGCAACTGAAGTTAACATAGCAAAAGTGAAGGAAATAGTGACTGAAAACCCTCATTCAACTTTGAGAGAGATAGCCGCCGAACTTTCTGTACCTCACGAGTCGATCCGTACTATTTTAACTAATCATTTGGGTATGAAACATGTTAACGCTCGGCTAGTCCCAAAAGACCTGAATTTTCTCCAAAAACTAAATCGCATGAGAGTCGCTAACAACATGCTAGAACGAGTCAATTCCGACCAAACTTTCATGAAACGTATTGTTACTGGTGACGAGACGTGGGTTTACGAGTTTGACACGCAAATTAGTCAACAAACTTCGGAGTGGCACCTTCCAACTGAACCGAAACCGAAAAAAACCACGCCAAAGTCGATCAAAAGTCAAAGTCATGTTGACTGTTTTCTTTGACTATCGCGGTGTTGTGCACTCGAAATTCAAACCGGAAGGTCAAACGGTATATAAAGAATATTATTTTAGCGTTATGCGGCATTTAAGAGAGCAAATTCGACGATAAAGGACAGATTTGTGGAAAGAAAATTCTTGGACTTTGCACTGCGATAATGCGCCTTAGCACAAGGCCATCATTGTGAAGGAATTTTTGACCAAACACTCAACAAATACCATCGAACAAACAACATATTCACCAGATATGGCTCCAGCCGCCTTCTTTCTTTTTCCTAAACTCAAATTACCACTTCGTGGCACCCGTTTTCAATCGGTAGAAGACATAAAGGAGAATTCGTGGCGAGAACTGATTATTCGTTGGTGTAATAAATTTGGATGAATAACAAACATTTTGTGTATTATTAATCTTTTCCCGGTACTTTCTTGACAGAGTAGTATGTCAAATATAACAGCTTTCGGTATATCAACTAATAGCCCGGTTTGCTCCCTAATTTTTTTTTTGTATTTCTGTCTTTCTCTGTTTGACTATGTCTATGACTATGATGAAAAGTCGTCGTTTTTTGTTTTCTTATATCGAGACTTCAAATAAGAGAATGAAAGCTTCACTAGCTTCTTTGTTGATCACAATATTCATCTTGTGATAAAATATACGAATAGATATACGATAAACATACGTTTCGTCAACATTTTGCAAGTCTAGAGCCTGCATTTTGTCCAAAAGTAGTCTACGCGTTAATCACTTTAATCTTAGAGATACCCTCGGATTCTGAAACGAAATGAGAACTTTTTTTAAAAGAAAAGTAAATTAATTAGTACAATTAGGCGGATTTGCAATATATCATTCAATGCTCTTGAAAACTTAGATTTCACGGGCGATCACTGCTAAATTCAACGTTTTCAATTAGATTAAATACTCTGTTCTATCTACCAATAAACAAAACTAATGGGACGGACCCTGACGTGCAACAAAAACCTTAAAAACGGAAGAAGAAAATTTAAAACAGTAATAACTAACATTTTTTTTAATCTACCAATACACCATTTTTTTTACTAGATTTAGATAAAAATGTTAATATTTATTTATGCTTAGCTATTAAACTAGAATCCATCATAATTTTATTCATAACAAACTCCAAAATAAAAATACTCTCTTTTAAAATAACAGTTTTGTAATAAATGTCTAATAGCGAAACGAACACTTAGAACAATGATCAAGTTCAGACTGACACACACCGGTGCGCACACCTACTAGGGTAGTCGGAGCGGACGCCCATTGCACTATGGCTATTCAACAATAGATAGATATTTTTTACTTGAGACACATTTCAAGAATTGTATTTTTGGCCTCCTAATTTGCGTAAATACCCCTATGTGCGACGACTATGATTCTTGTAAAATTCGTGAAAGCACCAACCAACCAATATTAATTTATTGTATAACTTATGTCTAAATTGATTAATATTAGGTCTTTACCTATGAAATTGCCTTTCTTCAGTACTGGTCATTTCAAATAAAAAAAAGTTTGTAATGGCTCTGTATTCTTAATTCAAAGTTTTAAAACCATGACATTTAATTTACAAAGTCAGTCTTTTGTTTTTTGATTAGCGTTGTATTTTCATTACATTTGAACATTTTTCGTCATAATGGATACTTTAAAAATTCGTGTAATTATGGAATATGAGTTTGTGTCGCGTTGGTGCCACGACGCACAACCCGTTATTGGGTTTCCCGGTTCCGTTCTGGAAATTTTGACTTGAAAAATGAAGCTCGTGGTCGTCCTGAGACTTTGGTTAACAATAATGAATTAAAGGCGATTGTGGCAGCTGACGAAACTCAATCTACAGCTGAGCTAGCAGCAGCTTTTAATGTAAGCATCAAAACAATATTGATCCATTTGCGACAAAGGCAAGGTAAAAAAGCTTGATAGATGGGTGCCGGGTGCGTCGAGACCTGCCTTGCGCTGCTCAACAGGCAAAGAAATGAAGGAATTTTGAAACGAATTGTTACGTGCGACGACAAAATGGATTCTGTTCGACAATCGAAAGCGCTCAGCAAGTTGGTTAGACCCTGGTTCAGCACCAAAGCAATGCCCTAAACCAAAAATGACCCATAAAAAGTTGATGGTCACTGTTTGGTGGTCTAGTGCGGGTGTGATTCACCACAGCTTTTTACAAAACGGCATGAGCATTAATGCAGATGTGTACTGTGAAGAACTGGAGAGAATGATGGAGAAGTTTGCACATCTGCAACCAGCTTTGGTCAATCGGTCGTCCCCACTGCGCCTTCACGACAACGCGCGACCCCATACTGCGCAACAGACAGTCTCCAAGCTGCAAGAGCTGGGGTTGAAAGCTCTCCCTCATCCGCCATACTCACCAGACCTTGCACCTACCGACTATTACTTTTTCCAAAATTTAGACAACTTTTTAGTGGGTAAAAAATTCAATTCCCGAGAGGCAGTACAAAATGCCTTTGAAGAGTTTGTTGCCTCCCGTCCAGCTGATTTTTAAAAAGTGTGCATCAATAAACTGCCAATGCGTTGGCAAAGATGCGTCGATTGCATGGGTGATTACTTCGAATAACAAAAATAAAAAAGTTTGAAAAAATAAGTACTTTCACTTATTGCATACAAAACGGCAATTTCATAGGTAAAAACCTATTAAATATTTATAACTGAAGAATTTCTGTACATCTCTATATTTCGATATTTGTTGAAAATTAAATTTCAAAAACTAGTCCTTGAAATTTCACATTTTGACAAGATCACCCTAAATAGCGAATTCATAAGGAATATCAAAAAGGAATTTATTTTTCAGATACCGAATATACGCAACGTTGATCTGCACCTACATATTGATTTACTTAGTAGACATTTTTACTAAATGTTAGTGTCCCTGGTTGTTGTTTCCACTCAGTTTTACCACTTTCTCCTGATGCTACAAATTCAAACATACTTGCTACTAAATGTTTTTGGAGTGAAATATCAATTTTGACTTGTTACTTTCATGGCAATTTACGCTCTTAAATATAGATTGAGGAGCCACATTAAAAGTATTTTATATTCTTGAATATCTAAAGCACTGGATTCAGATTTTTAGTAGTACACAGTTACTACTAAATGATAAAAAAAAATCAAAAATATTTAATATTTACTTTCCGTGTTTCAGGAGGCTGGAATTCATATTGAGGAGCCACTTTTACATTGATA